GCGCCGCGGTTGTAAAAGCAACAAAGGCGACAGGTAGAAATCGATATCGAAAGTGAAAAACCTTTTGCCGGCCGCAATAACAAGGTCACCGTGAAAAGAAGCCGAGGAAGAGGACTTTCGTGGTCCGCCACGCTTCCCGTCCCTGACCGTTCCGCGATTCACGTGTGCGCGAACTCCTAGAATTGTGAAAGCGATTGCAAAGTAGCCCCCTTTCCGACCGGACTCGGCTCGTTTTCTTATCGATCATTTTCACGGGGCTGCAGAGAGCGAACGGTGCATTGTCATGCAAATGTAGCGAGCGGAATTCATCAGCCCGGGACGGTGCCCGACGTGTCGCGTCGTACGACAAAAAAAGAAAGGACATCGAGGAGAGACGCCGATCTATCCGGTCATTCCTATGCCGTGCGAAAGATTTGTCGCGGAAGAGACATATTGGGAAATGAGCAATTAATTCGCCGTCGCTTCCCGTCAGGAAATCACTCGCGATCATTTTCTAACGTTTCCAGCCGGTTTCAGGCGGGATTTACAATTGTAATGGTCCCGGTGATCAAAGTAGCGCCGTAACGTTTACGAGGATGATAACGAGGACTTCGTAACTCACGCCACTGAAGATCCCGAGGCTCAAATCACGGAAATATCCGTCGAATAAAGAGGGACGCGTTCTGAATAATTCTAACGCTAGAGTTCTCATGCAAATCACCGCTGATCTGTTTTCCATATTTGGCATAGAGGAAGTCCGACCGAAACAAACATTTTGCCGACTTTCCACCATAAATTCTTCGCGGAGATGGAACTGTGACCGGAATTTCTAAAAGAGTGCATCGAATTGTAAAATTAAATAAGAATTAATTAATAAAATAATCGATTATCAGTTTCAACATTCAATCGAATGAGAAATAAATTAGATTTGTAAGAGAGTTAAGTTGGAAATAAATTTTCAATAAAATTACAATGATTTCTAACCGTGCTATTCTACGCCGTATTATACGCCGCGAGTCTCGTTAGACGCGCGAATTGAGCGTTCGATGCTCGTCTGACATTTATATGTTACGAGTTGAGTAAGATTCATGATCTATTATTGGCAGAGATCAGACTTTAGTTTCTACTTTTTCACGAGGATCTCTCGGTGAAAAACGAACATTTATCGAAAGGATGTGCTCTGAATGATTCGAGATAATTCTCCCCCCCCCGGGGGGATAATTTACGGCGATTGTGCGTATTTCCAGCTAATACTTACGAGCCCACACACATTGCCGCGAATCTTTTTCATACGTGCACGTAGAACGTTTATGCGACTTCGTGCAATTATTCGCACTCAAACGCGGTGTGAAAGCTACGCGGTGGCGTGCGGCAAGATCGCCCGCGTTCGTTCGCGGTGAAAAGTGTGCTGAAATCGTCGTCATGTCGCCGAACGGACCGTTTCGTTACCACGAGGAGAGGAGACTGCCGCGATGTAACGAATCGCGAGCGAGATTCGCGCGGCGGGCGATCGAGAAGAAAACGAGCGAGGCGCCTTCAAAAATCTCGAAAGTCCGACGCGCGGCGCGGGATTTGCCGCCCACTTTCACTCATCGATCGATTCGATTTCGTAAACGCCCAACGTTGAAATCCATTCCGTATTCTTAATCGCCATCGTTACGGGCAATTAATCGCGCGCCGTCCCTCGAATCCTCACTCACGAAAGTCGTAACTCGTCGTAACTCTAACGTCGCACGCGTGTCCTCCTCAAGGTCTATCATCACTGTCTCTTCGGCACTCGCTACGACTTCCTGTGCGCCAATTTCACGGCGTTCGACCAGAAGACCTTCATCTGTCACTTCGTGTCCGAGGTCGATTGTGCCAATTCCAAAAAGTACTGGCACAGGAACGACGCTCTTTATCAAGCCACGACGACCACGACCACGACCACGACCACCGTGGCGCCGGTCGCAGCGCCGACCAGTCGGGCGGCTGTACGCGATCGGATTCCGCCCAGAAGGAGGCCGCCGGCGAGAAGAAGGCCCTACGACTACTACGAGGAGGATTATTACGACGACGAGTACGATCGTCCGCGAGATTTCATCGGCCGGGACGACTACGAGTACGATGACCGGAAGTACAGGCGAGACCGAGATCGCGAGTTTAGAGATCGGGACCGCGATCGTGACTTCCGGGATAGAGATCCGCCGGCGCGCGGTAGGGATAGAGACGATAGGGATCGGGACAGATATCCCTCCCGGGGAAACAGGAGAGACCCGCCTAGGTCGAGAGATCCGCTGGAGGAGGACTCGAGGTCTCGGAGCAGGAGCCCGGATCAAGGTATCAGATCTACATCGAGGGAGGTGGACGATTCAGATGTGTACGATAGGCGCGCCGAGTCGAGGAACAGGGATACCGATAAGCGAAGATATCTCGATAAGAGGTGAGAACACGTCCCGTGTTG